CCCTTCACGTGGTGGGATGAGGCAGCCATGTGGCTTCAGAGCTGGCTCAGTGAAGGGCCAGCAGCTCAGCCTGGGCAGATTCAGGTCGGCTGGCCCAGCGTGACCCACTGAGACTGGATGCACAGGAGGGTGGCCCAGCGTGGCCTCGCAGGGTGGCCTGGGAAGCACACCGATGGTGCATGCCCACCCTGCTCCCTGCACTGCAGAGTCGTGATGACCACTGCTGTGGTGGCCCTCGGCACTGCTGTCCCAAACTCTCCTCTACCCTTGCTCAGTCTATGGCACGCAGTACCCGGCCCACCCATCACAAGGCCACATGGGATCTGTGGCCAGCTTCGCCTCTGCCTGGACACTGCATGTGTCCCCACAGGGTCGTGGGTCTCTTGAGGTTACGAGCCGTCCAGGCAGCCCAGGCTGTCCCTGAGAGCTGGGCGTTGGGCCTCCATGTGGTTGAGCATCCTGGTCCAGCCGGGCTCAGTCAGCTGACTCGTCCCTGATCACAGGAGCACCGTGGTGCGAGCCGACGGGGGGACTTGAACGAAGGCCTTTGYGGTGGGTGGTTGAGACCTCGTCGGAGCCCACCCTAGCTAGAGCTGGACAGCAGCACCTTGGAGGGTAGACGGGGCTGGACCCGGAGGAGCTGGTGGGACTGCAGTCCTCTAGGTCCTTGGAGTGTGGAGAGCCAGGTGGGCGGCCAGTGGTGGTCAGTGGACCCCTGTGAGGGACTTTGCTCACATGGACACCTACGTGCCCAGGTGGAGATGCCTCTGGACCCCCGCCCCTCCAAGGACCTGCAGACCTTACCCACCAGGAGGCTGTGATGCTGCGGTGCGGCCAGGCCCTGGCCATGTCGGTCCTCTGCTGGTCTCTGCAGGAAAGACCCGGCTTCTCCCCGAGGGGCTCGGGCACCCTGGGCAGCTCAGCACTGGAGCTGTCTCATATCCCCAGAGGTTGGAAGACCTTCTGCCCTGGCTGGACAGGAGCCAGCTCTGGTCCCCAGAGATCTGTGGTCAGCAGAGTGAGGAGCTGCCCTGAAGTGACCCTGCAGGGCAGGGTGGGCCTGTCTGCCCAGAAGCAGATAAGCAGCCGTCCTCAGCCGCCTCTCAGGAGCCTCAGTCAGACACAGAGGCTGGACAGCGTGGCTCAGGCCACCTGTGGGGAGCTTGTTCCCCCTGCTCAGGCTCATGTAAGGMCCCAGGACCCAGGACCTCAGAATGGGGCCAGATGTGGACACAGGGTCCTTGAAGGTGTCCAGTTAATACGCGGTCCTGCTGGCCTAGGGCAGGCCCTTTGTCCCACAGGAGAAATGCAGACACAGAAGGGCAGAAAGGCCAGGGGTATAGACATGGGAGACGGCCATCTGCCAGCCAAGGACAGAGCCCTGGCCCGGATGCTGCCCACCGTGGAGGAGCCAGCCCTGCCTGCCCCTGGCGTGTGCTCCGTGAGACCATTTCTGCCTCTGCCCAGAGCCCAGCTGTGGGCGTGCCGGGTTCGAGGCCACGGGGCGGAAGACCTTCAGAGCAGCCGCGGGAGGCTGGCACGGCACGGCTTTGGCCATCCTGGGGACAGCCCCACAGAGCAGCACATGGGCGTGGCTGCATCCTGGGCTCGCAGGGCCAGCAGCTCACCCAGAAGGCTGCTCCACAGGGCTGAGGTGTGCTCGGGAGCTGCAGAGTGGACCACTGTCTCCGAGGATGCTGGTGGGCAGCGCAGCAGGATGGCCTTGGAAGCGGACACTTGTCCCCACCTGAGCCAGAGCTTGTGTCCACGGGTCACCTCAGCCAACAGGACGCCGGGGAAAGGAACCCAAGACGCAGTGTCTGTGAGGCCCTCTGGCCTCTCGGACCCTCCCTCCCGGCCTCCCTACCGGCCTCCCCATCTTGCAGCGTGGGGGGATGACCAGGCTCCAGGAGGTGTGACTCACGGACACTCCCCAGCTGGTGGCATCCAAGCCCCATCCTCCCCGTCTCGGTCCCCACCCTGAGAACCCTGGGCACCCAGGGAAGATGAGTGGCTTCCACAGCTCCTGCAGCGAGTGAGAGCGATGGAGAACCCGGTCACTTAGCCTGCAGGTCCTCCTCCAGAAAGCAGCTCTCAGGGACACAAGAGTGTCCCCAGACCCTGCCGATGAAACCCCAGCCCCCAAAGGGACTGCTTGGGAAATGTGAGTCGAAGGAAGTGGTAAGATTCAATGAGGTCACTAGGGCAGTCTTGACCCCGCAGGACTGGGGTCCCTATAGGAGAGACCAGGACACAGACCAGCAGAGGGTGGCCATGCGAGGACAAGACGGCATCCACAGCCCAGGAGAGGCCCCAGGAAGAGGCAGCCAGACACACCTTGGCGCTGGGCAGTCTGACCCCAGACCTGAAGGGTCCACGCCCCTGGGTAGGCCTGGGCTGGGGTGCGGCAGGGCCGCCCCGCCTTGCAGGCTGGGTGGGAGAGCCAACAGGAGCCCTCCCTCCGTCCCTCCGCCTCTGTCCCTCTGTCCCTCCTTCCCTCCATCCCTCCCTTTCCTTCTTGGTTTTGCGCTGAGCACCACAGGTGTTTGTATTTAGACAACAGAGCGGGTTTGCCTTCTCTTTCTTACGCTGAGCTCCTGAAGTCAAACAGGGCTGTTCCTTGTGTGTTCTGTCCTTAAAAAGGGCCTGTTTGTTGAAGAGGGTGGACCGTCCTGTCCCCCTGCAYAGGTGAGGAAGCTGAGCCTCAGAGGGGCTGAGGACAGCTTCTGGCCATGATACCAAGCACACCAGGCCCTTCTGGGGGCCAGTCTGCAGTGACCCCTCCTAGGAGCCCTGGGGCCTGGACCAGCCCCTTCTGGGGAGGTTGGGGCATCCCCAGGTCCTGACCACCAGGAAGGGCCCTCAGGTGTCCGGGCCAGGCTCCGATTCCCAAGCTCAGCCCTCACACTGACGTGGTCCCAGCTGCCAGCCCAGCGACCTGCCAGATGGCTCAGGAGTGGACTGGAGACTCCGCTCTCCCCACCTCGCCTGCCCTGCGATCCTGGGGGACCCCTTCACTCACAGACAGTGTGGGCCCCTGGGCAGAGACGGGGCTGAACCACACCAGCAGGAGACACACATGGGGCACAGGAAGGAAGGTGCCCACCGCACTTGTGTCTGGGCCTGAGAAGCTGTGAGCCCCTGGACACACAGACCCAGAGTTGGCATGTGAGTTCATAGGGGTGGGGCCTGTCACTGTGTCATGGACTGGGCAGCCCTGTCCCCGTGCCCTCAGCTGCCCAGACGTAAGAGCAGAGGGACCCAGGTCAGGGCACTTGACGTTTCCTGGGACGGCAAGACYGTGAGGTGAGGGTTTCACAAGTGACCTGAGGCACAGCCGCTGTCCCCTCCCTGGTCCAGCACTCCTGGACCAGCCAGGGGAGGAGGCAGGGCCAGGGCACCTTGTGAGCTCTTCCCTTTGGGGAGTGGCCCCAGGGAGGAAGCCAGGTCCCCGAGTGGGGCAGGCGGCTGCAGATTGGTCCTCAAGTTCCCTCCTGTGAATGGCCGTCCTTGTCCCATGCTGGGGCCATGGGGCCTGGGGTCTCCAGCTGTCCCTCCTGACGTCTCTCTTACTGATCATCTGGACCTTCAGCTGGACTCAGAGCAGCATGCTCCTTGGTGTGGCAGACTCGTCCTGCTGTGGTGTCTGCAGGATTTGGATGAGGAGAGGGCGTCTCTCATGGCTGAGCAGGGGGGACCGTCGGGTGGCTTCTCCACCATGTCCCAGACAAGGAGATCCTGTGGCCCACCTGGGGGCCCGGCTTCCCCAGCGGGGCTGTTGAGATACCCACACAGCACCAGGTCCAGCGGTGGGATTGAGATGGAGGACACCTGCTCTGGACACAAGACTGTGCGGAGGGACCTACAGCCAAGTCTTGAGGAAGCCACCGCTGTGAGACGTCACCAGGACGCGCCTCTTGAGCAGCACCAGGAAGTCCCACTTTTCCACTTCTCAAACTCTCAAGGTGAAGAGGAGCCGTGTGAAAGCCACTTGGCCTCTCAAACCTGARAAGGTTGTAAGTCCCCGTGGGCAGCCTGTGGTGGCGCCCGGTGACCGGGAAGCACGGGAAGCCCTGGCATGGGGGCCGCCCACCATCGTGCAGGAGAGGAACTATGACGGGCCACCCAAGTCCCTCCCCATGGACATGTTTGTCACCCGCCTCCAGCCAGCGTAGGAAGTGCTGCCAAAGCATTCAGGCGCACGCTGTGTCCACCCCACCTGCCAGGCCACTCACCTGGCGAATGCGTGGGAGGAACAAAGGCAGGATGGTGTGGACGCTGGTGACTCCTCCTTCTTATTTACCCGCATATTTCCCAGGGCTTCTGTGGACAAGCGACTGTGGGGCTTGGTACAGAGATAAATGGAGTTAGGAAGGCCTGACCCTCTGGGGGAGGTGACTGATGATGACCTGGGACAGCCCTGGAGGGTGGACCCTAGACAGTCTGACCCAAGGACCTGCGACAGGGCAGCACAGGCTGCCCGCCCTGTGGGGACACGAGTCACGGCCTGGACGGCGGGAAGCAGAGGGTGGGGACAGAGAGCTGAGGCCAGGCAGCCGACTCGGGCACTGGGGGATGGCCCAGGCCACTCAGGGTGTGAGGGAAGAAAAGGGCACAGGGGACCTCAGCGGTTTGAACGGTGTCCTCCGAAGTGGCCCTCCACCCCGAACCTGTGGACAGACCTCCTGTGGAAACAGGGTCTTTGCAGAGGGGATGAAGTTGGGCCTCTCCAATGACAACTGTCCTCATAGGAGACAGAGGGGAGGCCCAGGGAGAAGGCTGGCTGAGGATGGAGGCACAGGTGTGGCCTTGAGGCGTCACGCCACGGAGGGCCGGGGACTGCCCAGGAGCCTGAGTGCTGGAGCCGACCCTGTCTCCAGCCAGAAGGAGCAGGTGCCCCCACACCTGAGCTCAGAGTTCTGCCCGCGCTGGGGACAGTGGACCGCGGGCCAGGACCTGGACTGCCGCCGGGCTGACAGTCTCTTCTCTTTGCTCCTCAGGTCTCCTGACGAACACAGCCCTCAGGGGCCCCAGGAGTGGTCTTGGCTCCCTGGACAGTCCACACCTCGACCCCGGCCCTCAGCCCTCGGTGGACTTCGCCTGTTCCCTGCATCCAGCCACTGTTTCCCGCGGCCCCTCAAGGACAGCCTCTGTCCTCAGCATTCTGAGCCTGACCTGCCGAACCCAGGAGGGCCGGACGTGGACGCAGAGGTGGAGGCGCTGGGCACAAGCAATACAGGGCTGTGGAGCCCGGCCGCGCCCTCCCTTGCCRGCCACTCTCCTGGGAGCTGGAGGACGAGGATGGGGCTGAGGAGGAGCTGCGGCCCCGCCAGATGAGCCCGGACGTGCGCGGTCCCAGGACTCTCAGGTGCAGAGGCCGCCTCTCCGTGGGCCCCAGACTGTCTGAATTGTTTTATTTTCTTATACTTTCAGTATACTCAATAGACCAAAGAGCAGATCTATTTTAACGTGGACGCGCCCTCACCGTCAGAGTCCCGGGCTGGATGGCGGGGCGGGGGGAGGGGTGCGGTGGCAGAGACCTGCCGGTGGCCCCGGCAGAGAGCGGGCAGCGGTGGAGGCCCCCGCCCCAGGATCGCCACGGTGCGCCCTAGGAAGATGGCGCCAGCCGGAAGGACGCCACCGCTCACCTGCAGGCACCGGCCCGGGCATGGCCGGCGACGGCCCCCACGTGGACAGCACGGTCCCCGGGGACACGGGCCGTTCCCGTCTCTGTGCTTAGACCGACTTTATCGTACTAAAATCACTTTCTGTTTTAACCAGTTCCACACACCTCCTCTTCGACAGCCCCATTTTTGATAGTTGGATAATCCAGTTCTTGCCAAGAGCATGTTGGGTCTCCCGTGACTGCTGCCTCCTACGATACGCCATTTAGCTCCAGAAAGCAAATTAAAGAGAACGGAAGTAACACTGTTTGAAAGAGATCATTAAATGTATTTTGCAAAGCCTAAAGTTATATATTTAACAGTTTTTATATGTTGTATATTTGTAGAAAATCCTATTTAACACTTAACGTGGCGGCCCTGGCCTCCCCGAGCGTGGGGCGAGGCCCCGTGTGTCCCTGGAGACTGTGGGGTGGCGGCGTGGGACCTCGGGAGCCGGGCGCCAGGGGCCGGGGCTCTGGGAGAGTGGCCGGGCACCACGGCCCTGGTGTCCCGCCGAGGCTCCCGGCCAGCACTGGGGAAGCTGGGTTTCTTTCCACTTTGGTTCGAGGTGGGTGGCCACTGTCCCCCTTTGGGTCTGTGACTGGTAAGCGCTGCGGGTACAGGATTTTGGTCTGGCTCTTCCCACGGATTGCGTTGGCCCTTTCCTGTCCCTCCTGCCGCTCCTGGGCCTCAAGGCCTTGGGCAGTGAGTTGTCCTTCCTGAGGGGGCGCTCCCCTCATTCGCCACAGACCCATCTCCTCTCTGGGAGGCCAAGCAAGCAGCGTGGACAGAGGGACAGGGGGCCAGGGGGCCAGGCGCAGGTGCCCCTGCATGGTGGGGCCCGTGGCCCCGAGGAAGGGACGAGTGTGTGTGTCYTCCCCTGGCGACTGTACGCCAGCGCCCTCCGTTTTCCTGAGTTCCTGCTGAGTATACTACCTACGAGTCCAATTAACATGACTATTATGCTAGTTCTTCAATACTAAAAAGTTTAAAAATATAACTACAGTATATAGACGCCGTTCCAGCCACCATAGACTAAAGATAGGAGAGGAAGTCCATGACGTAAGACCCGTTCCCACTCCATGAGCACTTAGTTCACCTCCAGCCACCGAACATGTAGAGGAGTTTGTATCCTGGAGAGAAAGAAAGGCTGAGGGGGTCTTCATCACAGAGGGGGCGCCAGCGAGGGCCTGCCCAGCTCCCGCGGCCTAGGCTCCCTGTGCCCACCGCCTCCTCTGCCTGTCCTTCCGAAAGCCAGTGTAGACACCTTCGAGGGCAGAGACCGGGAGATTTCAGATGTTACAGCATATTATTTTTCTTTGTTTTACAGTATTGAATTTTGTGTTGATTCAGCTAAATTATGAAAATAAAGAAAAAATCCTTTGATAAGCATGGCTCTTGTTCCCTGGCCGTGGTGTCCTGGGAGAGGGCTGGAGCTGGCATGGCTGGGGGGGGCAGCAGGTGGGCTGGACACCCTGGGTCAGACCAGCTCGGGAGACAGGGACCTCCTTCCCAGGCCCAGTGCCCCTGACCCCGCCCAGCCCCCCAGCTCGTCCTGGGCCCACAGGAATGACCTCTGGAGCCCGGCCCCCACAGGTAGACAAGGCCCCTGCTCTGGGGTGCCCAGCTCCCAGGTGCGAACACCTGCTCCCCACGCAGGCCGAGGCCCGGAGCCGTCCACTGGGGGATAAGCACCCTCTGCTCCCTGTCTCCCTGCCCACGGGGGCAGCCCAGGCAGCCAGTGGGAAGAGGGGCCACGATGTGCCTCACCTGTGCCAGGTGTCTGTGCACCAACCCCCACGGCCCAGGACACAGAAGTGAGGCCCCACTCGGGGCCCCGGGGCTCCTGAAGGACTCCTGACTGGGGAAATCTGCTCACCGCCCCCAGGAGCCGTCTGTGGAGAGCAGATGGTCTGTGCTGCCTGAGTGCCCCCCGAGGCCACCTGTTTGGGGGTCCCACTTGTTGTTTCTACCTGCTCTTTATAAATATTGGTCCTGGGCAGCTGTGTCCAGTGGGCGAGCCACGGCCCTGGGATGGCCTGTGCTTGGTTTCAGAGAGACTTCGAGGGTCTTTGGAACCATGGTGCAGGCAGCCTCGGCCCCGGTCTCCCCTCCAGGTATCTGGCTTGTCCAGGGACAGAGGGGGCAGCTGCCGCAGGAGCCCCAGGTCAGCCCCYGTGCCCTCAGGTGGGGCCTGCGGGGGACCCTGGGCCCCTCCCACAGAGGCAGAGCCCCCTGGGCTCCCTGGGCTCTGCAGTGAGAAGAGGGAAGGGGCAGCAGGGCCAGCGTCCACTCCTTCCTCGGGCCACACCAGGCTTCCAGGGTCAGCTGGCTGCAGCATGCTGGGTGACAAACACTTCTCTGAGCCTGGCCAGAGGTCTGAGGAGCCCGGTGGGGGCTGGAGGGGCCATGTCACCAGGACGCTGGCAGACAGACTCAGCCTGACCTTGCCGGGGAGGCTCTCGGGGGTCCGGCTCAGGCTGTCAGGCTACCCCTGCTCCTGGGGAGCTGGTTGAGCAGGCCACGTGCCTGTCCTGTAGAAGAGGGGGACGCACCATCCTGTCCCTCATCTGGGGAGAGAGCAGGTTCTGTGACTGACAGTGCTGGCTCGTGGCTCACTGTCCTGTTTCCCTAAGCACCACTGGTCAGTCACCATGGCTGCCCTCCCTCCCCGGGGTTCTGGGGGCTGGAAGAGCCTTCTGCTCGCTGCAGACGCCCCCGCAGTTGGCTCTGCCATTCCCAGATGCTGAGCACTGAGTCAGGAGCCCACAGAGGGGCCTGTGGAGCCTCCCTGACGTCAGAGAGCTCCCAGGGATGGCGAGCAGCCCCTGGTGTCCAGGGTCCCCAAGGTCATTCCCAGAGCGTCAGTTAATACAAASATGGAATGAGCTTGGTGACAGATGCTGTCACCAGGGATATCGTAAGCCCACCAGGCGCCTGCTCTGCCCTGCATTGTGTCCTGGACACCACAGTGACCATCAATATCTTGGCCTTGGGAGGTGACAGTGTTTCAGCATTATCCTGAGCTGACCATCAGCCCAAGAAGCTGTTGTCCCAGAAAAAGCCACTTCCCGTGAAACTGCCCAGTGGCACTAGTGGCCCCAGATTCTCAGTGCTATGTTCCACAAAAAAGGAGGACCTCCAGGCTCACTCGCAGAGTGGACCCTGGGTCAGTCCCCTGCCCTTCTGAACTGGCAGTGGACAGGGCCCCCTGAGCCCCTGCTGTGCAGAGCTGCTGAGGCCCTCTGCCTGATTCCAGACCCCAAGGCTTGCTCCCTTGCTGGCCCTGGCCGGTCTCTTCCGGGACCTTACTCACTGCTGTGTTCAGAAGCGGCTTCTTTAGGGACGTCCTGCACCCTAAATGCAGTTTGTCTCTCCCTCCTGTGCTTGGAAATAATAACACATTTCTTTTCTGCTTTTACGAATGTCCCCCTTCTGCCAAGGCTGTAGGGAGGGACTAGTCTCCTTAGCTGGCTGGGGGCGGGTAGGTGGCCCTGGCGGATCTGCGGTGGGTCCTGCCCTCCTCCTCCATGGGAGAAGCCRGCAGGAAACCAGAGCCTCCCGTCGGCCGAGGGCGCCTCCCAGTCCCTCTGGAAGGGAAAAGATGGCCCTGCTGAGGGCGCGTGTCCTCCTGCAGAGGACAATGCTGAAGAGAGACATTCTGACCCTGTGAGGTCTACGAGGAAGCCTGTGTTCAGGACGGGGCCGGTGGCAAGCCACTGTGCAGGGCTGTGTGGATACAACAGGACAGAGGGGACGGGGCAGGGCCCTGCTGAGGCCGGACAGGGTCACAGCCCCAGGAGGTGAGAGAGAAGAGCCCCAGCAGATGGGGCGGCTCTTCCTAAGCTGGTTCAACAGGGGTGAAGCTGGACCACCAAGGTCAAGGCCAGGCAAGGGACAGCCCAGGGGCCTGCCAAAGGGTGGCCAACAGGAGAGCCTGGCTGTGCGTTCKCTCCTGAACTTGGGAAGGGACCACAGTGCCACCAACCCGCATGGTGGCCCCTGCTGTGTGTGCCTGGCTTCTAGCAAGGAGCATGGCCTGCCTGAGAGAACCAGGAAGGCCGGGGAGTGGCCAAGCCACTGTCACAGCTGGGTACACGGTCCTCCAGAGGAAGTGAGGGGGACCACCCTCCGGAGCCGCCTTCAGGGTCCATCACTGCCCTGGACCTTGGCAATTGTCAGGGCTCAACAAGAAGTTGGCCCGTGCTATGGTCAGCTGTGAGTGACCCCCAAAGCCCCTGTGTGAGACAACACAGAAGTGTCCCAAGGTGAAATGATTCGATTATAGAGGTGCGACCTGACCAGAGGATTAATCCACTGAGAGGATTAACGGGGTGGTGGCTGAGGCAGGTAGGGTGTGGTTGGAGGAGGTGGGCCACTGGAGTGTGACTTTGGGTTTGTATTCTGTCCCTGGAGAGCAGAGCTCTCTGCTTCCTGGGTCATGCCCTGAGCTGCTTTCCTGCGACTTACCCTTCCACCGTGAGGCGCTGCCTTGTCCTGGGCCCAGAGCTCTGGAGCCGGACTCCTGTGGACTGAGAGCTCCAAAATCATGAGCCAAAATMAACTCTT